AAACACCCTAAAAAAATGAGTTAAGTATATGAACACGAAATTTACTGAAAAGAAAAAGTATAACAGCCCTAAAAACAATGCTTAACTCTGCTGATAGAGGAGAATGCCAGTTAAGACCATTGAGGATCCATCTGATCTACAAACATTCTCTGAGTGTCTGATAATAGTAAATGTTTTGTTTGTTTTTCAGAGATTTTGTTTTTTCTATAGGGTATATGTGCTCACCAGAGAGACAGGAGAGACAGAAAGACAGAAAGCAAGAAATCACCATTACCACCATCATGGGGGGGATGGCCATGCCGCAACCTCTTCTCTTCCATTCTCCTCTTGGGATTTTGGGCACACACGCACACGCGCCTGACAGGAGTTTCAAGTCATAAGGTCCGGGACTCAAACTGTGACGGGTCATGTGGGAGTCCTGTGTCTTAACCACTATGCCACCTGCTGGCTCCAATAGTAAATGTTTTTTTTAAGAACGTACCCACAGTTAGATAGGTGCTGTTTAAGCTTACGGCATTACTGCCTGAGACTAGCACCCAAACAAGAGTTTGGGTTGTGTCAACCTGAAAAGGAAGGCTGAGGCAAAATAAGTAAATAAAAGGAGCTTATAAAAGCCAGAATTGAGACAAATTATGTATGCAGCATAAAGTCAAGTCACGTTGAATAATGTGTGCTGAGGGCTTACAGATTTCAGGATAATTTTAAAGGCCCAAGTCCTGAATGGCAGAGGGAGTAACAAGGAGTCTTGTATGACAGTGATTGACTAAATTGTATGATCAATTATTTGTTTAATCTTAGAGTAAGTATAGAGATAGAGAGTCTGGCACAGTTTTGTAATGAAAACATTTTGAAGGTTATAACTAGTAGATGTTACTTATGGAATGAGAAGTGTATTTGAGCAAGAAGGATGTTCATAAAACAAAAAAGTCCAAGTAGTCTAGGTAGCATCTTGAGCTATTTCAAGTGCATATTCCCAATATGATCACAAGATACATGTAAGTTTTATTTCTTTATAGCACTGACTCAGCTAGATTGGAATGTCCTGTTTTCAGGAAAGACTGGTTTATTTGGGGACCTATCCATTTCCTCAGTATTTCTATTTGATGATGTGACATTTTAGCATGAGTGACTTCATTTTGATTTGGTCTTATCTGTTGAGGCCTAGGCCAGGACCTTAATTCAAAACAATGGCCTCCTATAGTTTTTATTTCACAGTTGTTTCTAAAGATCCTTTGGTACTGCTCTAGTCCCTGAATCTTTGGTTCAACCTGTCTTAGAGCTTATGTTTATCACACAATGCTACAGGAAGCCTTTGGATTCTAGGAAAACCACCCCTGGGAATATGTTCTGAGAATGGGATGAAAAAAAAATTATGCTTTATTTTCTTAATGAACTCACTGTGGCTGGGTAGCAAAAGTGGTGATAATGCTGTCCTGTAACCAGTTTTATGAGGGACCCATGGAAGAGGAAGGGTCTGGAAAACCTCCATTAACTAGTGTACAACCTTGTATGTCTGTGGAGTTCTTTAAGTATGCCTAGTGCAAATTGAGATGGTCTGTAAAGTGTAAGACCTACACCTCGTTTCAGTGACACAGCATGGCGAAAGAATGGAAAAGATCTCCTTAATAATTTTATACTGATTACTTGATTCATAATATTTTTAAATATTAGATTAAATAAAATATATTACTAAAATTAATTTCTACTGGGGCCATCGGGTGGCATGGAGGTTAAGGAAGCTGGATCCCCCATGGCCAACTGCACTGTTTGAATCCCAGACCTACTGGCTTGAAAATCACGCTGAGCACATGTATGTGCTTGCCTAATATCCTGGGAAGCGAACGGAGGAGAAGGGATTGTGGTGTGGCCATCCCCCTTGGTGGGGGGAGGGGGGTGATTTATTACTTTCCCTCTTTCTCTTTATTTCTCTCTCAGGCAAGTGTACATACTCTATAGCAAAACAACAACAAATTAATTTCTGCTATTTCTTTTTACTTTTTGAAGTACACCTACTAGAAAATTTTAAATTACATATGTGTTTCTTGTTATATTTCTATTGCACTGGCGGTCTTAGCTTTTCAAGCAAGAGGTCAGACCAAGTTAAATCTCCCAAACTCTTCCTAATACCTTCACATACCTATTTCTGGTATGGAATTGGCCTCCAGTAAACAAACAAAACTGTACATTGCCCTCAATTATAAATACTTTCACCTATGCATAAAGTTGCCATAGAGCTAAAATGTCTGATGTTTGACCCTTAGCCTAGAAAATAATTGACAGCAATTGCAGTTTTTTAAGTATATTAAAATATATTGCACATTTGATAGTATGCATCTCTAATCTCATCTACAGAAGATGATGAGACAGGAGACTTGTGAGTTCAAGCCCAGCCTAGTGACATAGTGAGAACTAGTTTAGAAAAAATAATATTTATCGGTGTTGGTAGTTATTACTCTTAGCTTAAAACTATGCGATATGAATAAAATTGATTTTTAAGTTGTTAAAAAGTTTTTCTGATGCTTCTCTGTGTTTATGTCAAGTTTGGCATCAATAATTTTATTTCCCTCTAGTGGCTGTTCTGTGTTGTCTTTTCTAAGTCCTCTGCCAACAGTCTTCAGATTTCCAGGACTCAGCATTTCTCACCTGGACTACTGCAGCTTGTAAATGTTTTGTTATGTGGTGTGTGTGTGTGTGTGTGTGTGTGTGTGTGTGCGTGTGTGTGCATGTGGTATTCTATAAAGGATCTTGCTATATTGCCCACGCTAGCTTCAAGCTCATGATCCTCCTTCTTCAGCCTCCTGAGCAGCTAGGGCCATAAGCATGCACCACATCCAGCTTTTACAGGGGGCCTGGAATCTGATGCAGGCCTCCCATGTGGTCTCACCATACTAAGCAGCAGCACCCCAATTGCTTAATTGAGTTCCTCCTCTTTGAAATCTCAGCCTCAAACTCATCCTTGACTTGGCTGCTGCAAAAGCTCCTTAATGCACTGTTTAGTCCAGGCTCTTCTCACTTCTCATTCTAAAAAAAGTCCTTCAATAGTTATCATAGCCTCTTATTGGCAGACACTTAATTCAATGTACTCCTACACCAGCTCTATGTTTTTTTGTTGTTGCAACTCCCTCTCTCTAATTCCTGTTAGACTACTTCCTGTTTCTTCTAACTGCTGTCATGCTTGCCAACTACTGTCATGCTAGCTGACTTCTGGTTCTCTCCTTAGAATTTTTCTCTGCTTAGAATGCCCTCTCTTGGGACCAGCAGTTAGTGCAATGGCTATGTCGCTGGACTCCCCTGTAGTCGACCGCCATTCGCATCCCGGACCCGGTGGCTTAAAACTCACACCAGGCGCGTGTGCATGCGTACCCAAGACCCCAAGAGGAGAATGGAGGAGAAGGGATTGCAGCATGGCCATCCCCCCTGGGGGTGATTTCTCACTTTCTATCTCTCTCTCTCTCTCTCTCTGTCTGGCGAGCACACACACCCTATAGCAACCCCCCCCCCCAAAAAAAAAAGAATGCCCTCTCTCCTTTACCATTACCCTCCATGTCCCCTGTTCCACTAATTCTGAAAAAAAAAAAAAAAAAAAGAAAAAGACACTTACTGTATTACTTGATAACATGATATCAGTGCTTTAAGTCAGGAAGCAAAAAGCAAAAGACAAAAAAAGGTAGAAATAACAAAACACCAGGTGGCAAAATTTTTGAAGAAAAAGACATGATTTCACTATGGAGAGAGTCAAGCCCTTTACTCTAGCATCAGGTGATTACTTAGTTCTCAGGTCATCTCCTCTTAGAGACTTGTGTAGGGTTTGGGGCCCAGAATGTTTGTAGGTTCAAAATTATCACCCAGAACAGAATCTTAACTCCCCCCCCCTACTTTTTGGTAGATTTTTTCTGTTACAATTTCTTAGAATACAAGTGAGATCACTGCTGAGTGGTTCAAGGTAGGGGTTATGATAAGAAGAGGAGTGAGAAATTGGTAGAACTGAGAAAGAGAGAAAACTTTATTGTGTGCCATTGTGATTGGAAATGATTTACAGATCTTCTAGAATTGTAGTTAACACTTAAAGAAACCTGATAAGTTTCTTTGGCATGAGTAATAATGTAAGAATGTTATATTTTTGCAGTTCTATTAAAATATATATTTGACTGTGCAGGTGTGGGCAGTAGGGTGTCACTGCATGATACTGGAGACTTATGAGAAAGCTGGGAGTTCAGATCTTGGGTGGACCTGAACATACTAGCCACATGTATACCTGTGATCCTGGTGGACTGGAAGGCTGAGGGAAAGGATTATAGCATTCAAAATCTTTATGATCTTTTTGTCTCTCTTTCTCAATATATAAATAATAAAATTTTAGTTTCTATCTATATATCTAAATAGTTGACCATATTTTAAACTTTTCTGTAACCCTTTATATTTATAATTCCAAGGAAATATTAAAAAGTGCCCTGTTGTTAAAAAGCACCACCACCATGGGATCAGCAGATGGTGTAATAGCTATGTCACTGGACTCCCACATAGCCAACCACTGTTCGAGTCCCGGACCCAGAGACTTAAAACTTATGTCACGCACATATATGTGTGTGACAAAAATCCTGAGAGGAGAACGGGGGAGAAGGAATTGCAGGGTGACCATCTCCTTGGTGGGTGATTTCTCGCTCTCTGTCTCTCCAGCAAGCACACATGCTTATAGCAAAAAAAAAAAAAAATCAAAAGAAGGGAAAAAAAAGCAACACCACTGTTTCTTTATTAATAGGGATTTAAAAACAAAAAGAAAACACAGAAAAACTTAGTTTTTATGTAAAGCATATTTCCTTAGGAAAAGAGTAGTTACTAGGGGATTTTAATTTAATTATGTCATTGTTACCCAAGCAAGAGGGAGAAAACTCTTTATCATACAAACTAAACTAATTTGTCTTCCTGGAAGCTGAGATAAGAGCTGTGTCTAGTGAATGTGCAGTATTTAAAGTAATATAAGTGTGATTTATATTTTGCAGGAATGGACAAATGAAGTTTTCAGTCTGGCAACAAACCTGCTGGCCCAAAACATGTCCAGGGATGCGTTTCTTGAAAAAGCGTAAGTCACGCTAATTTTATTGCTGCGGGTGTTGCTTCTTCTGAGTCAGTTTACTTCCTTCACTGTGAGTCTTTTGTTCACATTGCACTGGCTCCTCTTGTTGATAAACATAAATTTCCCTTTGAGATTTGTTAGAGAATTGATACTTCCACAGTTTGGAATTGGAAGACTTTCAAGAAAGATCACTCTCCTGCAAACTGCGCTTCCATGTGACACCTGGGATGGGCTTGACTGAATGTCAGTGCCGTTGACATGTAATAAGGGAACCCTTCCAAATCCTGACAGCCATGATCAGAACCAAAAATTATTACTTTTCAGAAACTTCTCCGATTGTACATCTGCCTGTGTCCTATCAGTTATTAACCTGAAGAAAAGCATGAACAACATACGTTCCTCATTTCCCCAGGGTCTAGATTTCCAAGAGATGTTACACTAACCTCCCCGCCTACTTCAGTCAATAGACTGATGTCCTGATGCCAGCTCTTGTAGAGAATCACAGCAAGAATTCATAAGAAAAGAGAAAGAAAAAGGACATAGCACAAAGAGCAGAATGAAAAACAGAAGGAAAGAAAAGCCAAAGATATTACTGAATCGCTCTGGAATTGCAAAACCCTTTCTAAAATTGAAAAAAAAAAAAACAAAAACAACTGTGGCCAGGAAAATAAGATATAATGACTTATGCCAGATGAGCAGTAAGGAAAACCGGTCGTGTTCAATTTGGAAGCCATGACTGTCCAAGATGCTGGGAAGTCTCTGAAGCAAAACCTCAAGCGGAAACATGAATAGGTGGTCCCTGGTTAGGGAGCAGCTTTCTCTTTTCTCTCTTCTTATGTAAGACATACTCATCATTCCAGACCTAATACTTCAGCCACATCTTGTTTTTCTCTTCGATGGATTCCTTCTGTTAGCACCTCACAGTTCTTCATTTAAATGCCCTTTTCAGAGGATCATCTCATCTCTTTAATTTTTTTATTTTATAAAAGGATCCTTTTGGGGACTAGGAATTCAGCTAGATTCACAGGGAATAAATTCTGAGTTTGCATCCCAGAATATCCCTGAGCATGCTGGGTGCAGAGTCACTGTATCAGAACCTTACTCTGGGAGCCAATCAGTTTCAATCTCTTTCTCTCTCTCTCTCTTTCTCTTTCTGAAGAAATAAATAAAATAGCTTTTAAATAGATAGATTTTTTGTAAAGTTAGAGAGCCTCTCTCTCTCTGTCTCTTGGAAGAAAGAAATACACTAAAATAAATAAACGTAAAAAACTTTCTAAACAAAGCTAAAATAAACTTTGAACAAAGGAACCACCCTTTCTACAGGCCTCCACCTCCTCTTTTCCTTTGTTCCTCTTCCTTTTAACTCTGTTGTTGATCTTACCATCTTTCATCTGACAAAAACTTTTGGAACATCCGTTTTTCCAGACAATGCCAGTAGAAGGAAGCATAAAGATAAATACGATATCTGACCTGAAACATAGCATATTACAATTTGTCGGTTAAGCATAGTCTGCTGCAAATGACTACTCCAGATAGCTCTGTCCGTATAAATACCAGCTATGGCCATCCTAGAACATACCTTTGGGTAACTATGTTGTGAACTTTTTTGTTGCATACACAGAAACAGGATCACCAGTTTACAACGTGTGCAGACAGCAGTATTCCTAGCTTCACTCCCATTGGGAACGTCTAAGAGTTTTGTTGCTCCATCTGTCTGCCTATATGGTCATAAGTAGTTGGAGAGATAAATACAGTTGTCATAGTCATAGAGTAGAACACCATAAAATACTGAGAATAGGGAACCAGCAGTTAGCGTAATGGTTATGTCGCTGAACTCACATGTAGTCAACCACAGTTCAAGTCCTGGACCCAGTGGCTTAAACTCACTCCAGGCACGTGTGTGTGCATGCCCAAGATCCTGAGAGGAGAATGGAGAAGGGATTGCAGCATGGTCATCCCTCCCCGGGGGGTGATTTCTCGCTTTCTGTCTCTCTGTCTCTCTCTGTCTCTCTGGCAAGCGCACAAGCCCTGTAGCAAAAACCTCTCAAAAAAAAAAAAATTACTGAGAATAAATAATCCGCAACTTAAGGCAAAATAAGGATGGGATCTCAAAAACATCATACTGAATGAAAGAGGTCTGATGTAAAAGAATGTGATTCCATTTATGTAAGGTTAAAAAAAGGCTAAAATAATCTATTTTGTTTTTTTGCGGGGATAGACTCTGGGGGGAAAATGGTAAGAGGGGCTTCAGGGATGCTACCAAAGTGATAATATTATTTTCTTGATCTGGGTGCCACTTGTGGAGACTTGGGAAGTATGCAAAAATTCAGCCTACTGCACATAAGTATGGGCTCTTTTGCATTTTGCTTTTTAATAAAAAGCTTCCTTAAAAATTAAACACTGTTGGGCCAGCTGATGGCATGACAGTTAAGGCAGTTGGATCCCACGTGTATGGTTCAAGTTCTAGACCTGATGGCTTGAAAAGCACACCAAGGGTGAGTGCAGGTGTTCATGCAAATCCCAGAGAAAGAAGAGATGAAGGAGAAGAGATTGCATGCTGACCATCTCCCATGGGGTATGGGGAGGGGATGCTTTCTTACATTCCTTTTCTCTCTTTTTGTCTCTCCAGCAAGGACACACTCCAGCAAATTTTTTTTAAATAAAAGAAATAAAAATAAAAGAATAAAAAAAAATTAAACACTATTTTTTTCTGCTTTTCCAACAGCTATACTAAACTTAAGCTGCAAGTCACTCCAGAGGGGCGCATTCCTCTCAAAAAGTAAGTTTCATGAATAGGTCCCATTATTTGTTTGTTTTTGTCAGATGTGAGTCCGTGCCGTAGTTCTGCTTTGCATCTCTGCCAGCCTAAGTGGGATCATGAAAATGTGTGGTAGCCCCACCCTGCCTCATGAGTCTCACGTCAGAACAGCTGGTTTCCTCGTAGACATTTCCCTGAGGTCCCCCTTTCCTGTGGCATCATGTTCAAGAAATGCCAGTGCAGGAAGGGAATGGAGGGAGCGGAAGTGGAGTGAGGAATTTTGTTGTTAAACCCAGAAGACCATCTAAAATTCAGATCTATTCTAGGAGAGATAATTGGGCAACCTCAGTGCTTTCTTCTACCACACTGGCTCTAGCCTTAAAGCATGGGTTGCAACTCAAACGTCTAAAGGAGCCACGCAGGGAACTCAAATGACTAGATAGGTCAGATCAGGAAGAAAATCTAAAGAGCAAACCCTGATTAAAGGAGGCACCTCATCCCCATCACATACCCTGTGGAACTGGTAAGCTCCAACCCTAGTTTTTCTAATGTTTCAGTAGAATCCAGAAATTCAAGTTATTATTTGCATTTTATTATTATCCAATACTTAAGTTTTGTTCTAGAAAACCAAATTAGTGATTGAAGAAAGTACATCGCTAGACCATATTCAGCCAAAAGTCTTTAACCACCAGAGAGCTGGATCCTACTTGACTGACATCACAGTTTAAATTCCAGCCCTAGTAGTTGAAAAACATGCAGGTTATGGGTGCATGCATGCCCAAATCCCAACAGGGAGGAGATATAGAAGAGAAGGGATTGTGGCATGACCATTCCCAAATAGAGGGTGCTTTTTTCCTTCTCCTCTCACTATATCTCTCTTTGGTGAGACCATGTGCCTTCTGACAAATTGCCAAAAAAAAGTTCAACCATTGCCTTCCAACCTATGAAAGAACTTCTATTAAAAACAAAAACAAAAACAGGGCTTGGGAGTGGGCAGCTGCTGGCCTGGTGGTTGAGGTAGCTGGATCCCGTATAGCCAGCTGTACTGCTTGAGTTCCAAACACAGTGGCCTGAGAAACATGCCAGGTGCATGTGCATTTGTGCACAAAGTCCAAAGAGGAGAATGGAGAAGGGACATTGTTGTCCACCCTAGGGGTGCTCTCTCACTTTCTCTCTCTCTCTCCTCTCTCTGTCTTTCTCTCTCTCTCTCTCTCTCTCTCTCTCTCTTTCTTTCTCTCTTTCTGGCTAGTGCACACACCTTATAGCAAATTTTTTAAATTTTAATGATTAATTATGTAATATATGTCTTTGGGACAAAGGCTAATAACAGCAAGAGAACAGAGTTGGTAAGATTGCTGATGTTAGTGCTTAATATGAGAGCTTATTTAATGCAGCATGTCTTCATTGGTTCATCACCATTGTCTCAAAGTGTTGATTTTTTTTTTAGACACTTTCATTTTAAATGGCACACACAGATCTTCCGTAACACAGATACGGATGTGTGGAGGGAAGGGGCTATTTTACTTCTTGGAAGATGGATAATATTGTAAATAGGTTGGATTCTGTGGGATGTTTTGACTCGGCATCATCTATGAGTTGTGATTCACATGCCTGTTAAACATCTCTCATTTGTCGTTGTTTTCACTCCACAGCATATATCGCTTGTTTTCAGCAGACCGGAAACGAGTTGAAACTGCTTTAGAGGCTTGTAGTCTTCCATCTTCAAGGGTGAGCACGTTAACTTTCAATAATACCAGCTACATAGTTCTGCATAATTCATACTAAATATACATTACCTATGTTCTGTAAACATGATTCGCAAAACTTAAGAAACCCATAACTTATTTGTCGATATGTGTAATGTGCACAACCATTGTTATTATATTCTTTCATTTCCATAATCCAGTATTTCTATCTGGGATGACTCTTGTCTTTTGCAGATGAAAACAAAAACATAACAGAAAATACAAAAAACAAAAAAACAGTATTCACTGAATCAGGCAATATTTTTAAAGTACCAAATAAAGAACAATGTTATCAGAAAGACAATTTCAAATGTGGATTCAAACTTATCTTTAATAATAAACGCATTCTTGATGTCTTTTTTTTTTTTTTGGAGAGGTTTTTCGCTATAGGGTGCATGCGCTTGCCAGACAGACAGAGAGAGACATAGAGACAGAAAGAGAGAAATCATCCCCCAGGGGGGATGGTCACGCCGCAGTCCCTTCTCCTCCATTCTCCTCTCGGGATCTTGAGCATGCACGCACATGTGCCCGGCGGGAGTTTTAAGCCACCGGGTCAGGATGCGAACCGCGGTCAACTACGTGGGAGTCCAGCGACATAGCCATTATGCTCACTGCTGGTTCCCTTGATGTCTTTTGTGAGGTTAGCTCATAACAGTGTGAAGCTGTCATGTTTAGGAAGATACCTGAAATAATAATTTCATTCTACCCTTTCAAAATGTTTGGTTTTAAAATTTGTAAATTAACATAAGCAATTAGTATGGTGGTGCACGTTTATAAATAAATAAATTCACATACTCTTCAGGGCCATTCTTAGAAAGTTTTTAACTGAGAAGGATGCAGCCTCGACACAGTTTGGAGGGGCACGCTGGTGGCTCAGTGAGTGGTAAAACGTGACGCTGTGCAAGGCTGACCCACATAGGGAGGTTCAGGGATTGCATCCAGAGACCTTCCTGACAAGACTGGGTACATCTATGCTCGTGATCTGGGGCCGGTGGTGGCTGGGAGTAGGTTGTTGTGTCAAGATCCTATGGGGGGGGTGTTCTCTCTCACCTGCTCATGGAAGAAATAAATAAACTTTCTAAAATAGTTTCAGAATACCCACTTTTTAATGCATTGAAGTAGGTGAAGACAAGCATGCAACATACTTTTTGCTTTATGTCTGACACATACGAGTTTCTCCATATATACTATGACCAGCTAGAATAAACAAGTTTGACTTTATTTTGATTCGTTTCTGAACAACAGGCTCTAGAATGATTCATTACAAATTTTTTTCTGAGAGAATGGAGTCAATTGCATAAAAGGTTTTTCTCATGCCATGTGCAGAACTCTCCTCTCTGTTGCAAATTATTTTTATCCCCGTATCTAAGCAACAAGTAAGCATTTACCTGAAGATAACACTGAGTGTATAGGAAGAACCTTTGAGCCTCTTGAAACATGTTCACAATGTTCAAGTTGCACTGCATGAAGTTGCTAAGCCATTCTTAAACTTATGATTGAGTTATGAAAAAGTATTGAGTGCTATTATTAAATTCGTCATCAAGTTCTTATTTTTTTTTTTTTTTGGAGAGGTTTTCGCTATAGGGCGCGTGCGCTCGCCAGACAGACAGAGAGAGACATAGAGACAGAAGGCAAGAAATCACACCCCAGGGGGGAAGGTCACGCCGCAATCCCTTCTCCTTCATTCTCCTCTCGGGATCTCGGGCACGCACGCACACATGCCCGGCGTGAGTTCTAAGCCACTGGGTCCGGGACGCGAACCGCGGTCGACTACGTGGGAGTCCAGCGACATAGCCATTACGCTAACTGCTGGTTCCCTCAAGTTCTTATTGTGAGTACTTTTTAAGAAAGTGGAGTTTACTAACAACTCTGGTAGGTCACAGGGGAAAAATAACAATAATAATAAAGGAGTGCTTCTCCACTGTCACTTTTCTTCTATATGTGGAGAAAGTTAATGATGCTGCAAAAGCTAGGCAGAGCTGTGGAAAGTCACCCCAGAACACATCTACCTTCACTTTATTAAGCTGAATAAAAAACTCTGGGAAAACCGGTGGCACAGTTGGAATGTCGTACTCTGCAATGCTAGGCCCACATGGTGAGGTCCCAGGTTCACATCCCAAGGCCTCTTTGTACTTACTAGGTACCCATGCCCACACCCATAATCGAGTCTGGCTGAGGCTGGAGTATTTGGTGGTAAGAGGATCCTGTTGTGTTTCTCTGTTTTTTAATGGGCATATAATATTTGTACCTATTTATGGGGGTATGGTATTTTCTCACTCTAAGAATACAATGTGCAGTAATGACTACAGAGCAATTAGTGCACTCGTCATCTCTACCATTTGTCATTCATTTGTGTTGGGAATCTTCAGAATCCTCTCTTTAGCTACTCTGAGATATACAGGAAGTTGTTGTAAAGTACAACAGGGTGCATAGAGTCAACAGGTATTCCTGAGCCTCTTACTTTGTGCCCACAGACACTGAGGCTGTGGTCATGAACAAAATGAAATTCAGAGATTCAAGACCATAGAGTTTTCTGGGGTATGAGTAAACATGTCAAAAATGTGTTTGTGAATTGGCACAGTGTTAATAAAAAAAAGAATGGAGTGCAGCCATTGACAGTAAAGGAAGTTTATTCCAGGTCAAGATAAAAACATGTACACAGCCCTGAGGCTGGAAAGAATTCACTGGGTTTGAACAACTGAGAAAGACTACCATGTTCAACATGAAAGCATGGATTTACAAAGACATGCACACATTTTTTTTTCTTGGCAAAAACTTCTGATTTTACCTTTTCTGGATAACATCTTGTAGACTGTAATGATCAAACATTTCAACCTAGTGCTATAAATCTAGCTAAGGGAAAGAAGACATAGAAAATGAACCAGAATAGAAACCCAAATGCATCAACCAATTCTCTGTAAATTGCAATTTTCTAAACAATTGGGTTCTGACAACTCAATCGATAAACATAAATTGAGTCTTTACAATCCACTATGTCTATTATAGGTTCAAACTTTCAGACCCATATCAACTGGGGACATGGGGACACTTTAAAAGAAAAATGAGATTCAAATAACAGGAGTAATGTTTAAATTAGAAAAGGTTTGCCTTTTGCAAATTAAATGTAGTGACACTTTTCTGAAAACAAATTGTAGATCTTTTTAAAATATAATCAACCTCCATTAGAAAGTTTTACAAGATGATTATTTATAGTAAAGTATAATTTACTTGGAGGACTTCTGGAAGTGAAATGATTTAACAAATATGAAAACCAAAGACAGTTTCAATTAGGAAATAAATGTTTCCATGCACTACCTATGGTACATCAAAACTATAGTTTAAATCCTTGTGGTAATTTCATATCTCCAGAACACCGACTCTAGAAAACATTCACTCATTAGCAAAAAGATTGTAAAATATAGTAGCAGCAGTTATTTTAAACATACCACAGAAGAAATGGGTTATATGTAGTAAATAGTAGATAGTTCTGTATAAATGAGAGCTTATTTCATAGCCAGCAGCCATTCAAACCAGATTTAATTGTGTTCTATAAATAGATACATTACCAGAAACACAGTGGATATCCTGTTGAGTTTTTTAAACATTATCTTTGTGCACATTGTTAGGAATAATTAATGCACTTGAATTTGTATCCTGGCCAGCATGGTCCATTGGAATAACACATTCCTTTAGAGGGTACTTTTTAGAGACTACATTTGCTAACCTAAAGTTACCTTGTTAAGTGGTAATGTATTTGAAAAGAGAGACAAAGCAATTAGTGTCCTTTTGTACTAACCCCAACATATTTTCTAGGGAGACCTTTCCACATTTAGAAAATTACCACTTTGCCCACAAACTTTCTGAAAACTAAAAATAATTTATTCGTACCAAATTCCCTTGATTTAAAGCTTATTAAGGTGGAAAAAGCCCAGTGATCCCTAGAATTGTACTGTGGCCTTGCTATGGCATTGGCATTTAGAATTGTGTTTTATTGAAGAATGTAAGTAGTAAATTTATACATTTGTTACAAATAATAGCATTTATTTTAGTTGTTGGATATACATGTAATGCAAGGAAAATTAATTATTTTTAATTTAAAGAATACTGTTAAGTTTTGGTAAGGAATACTATTGGCTTGTCAGAACAGTCATTACGTATTTTTTCTGTTTTTCTATTTCAAAAATGCATCATGACTTTTCCAACAACCCAATATGAATAAAATTTATGAAATAACTCTACAACTATAGATGTTGCCTTCTATCCCTTATATCCTGAATATAAAATCAGAAGCATAATTATTTTTGCAGTTATAATTCTTAAAATCACTGGACCAGCAGTTGGCATAATGACCGTGGTGCTGGACTCCCATGTAGTCAACTGCAGTTTGAGTCCCAGACCTGGTGGTTTAAACTCACGCCAGGCCCGTGTGCGTGCATGCCCAAGATCCCGAGAGAAGAATGGAGGAGAAGGGATTGCAGCGTGGTCATGCCCCCTGGGGAGTGATTTCTCATTTTCTGTCTCTCTGTCTCTTTCTGTCTTACTGGCGAGCACATGCGCCCTATAGCAAAAACCTCTCCAAAGAAGAAGAAAAAGAAAAAGCAAGCCACCAGTTCCAGGACTTGAACCACGGTCGACTATGTGGGAGTCCACTTCCTTAGACACCATGCTACCTACTGGCCTGGTTATCCAGTGTAAAAAAAAAAAAAAATCACTGATATAAAAATTCTACTGTAAAACCACATTGCGTTGGGCCCATAACAAAGCAGATAAGCTCTGCACATAGGAACTCGGCTCGCTCAGAGTCAGCCGTGGTCAGTCCCAGCCCCAGCAGCCTGGAAAACATGCTGGTACACATGCATGCCCCAAATCCCAATAGGATGGAGAAATGGAGGAGAAGGGATTGTGGTGTTACCACCCTCCATAGGGAGTGTATTCTCTCTCTTCCTCTGGTGAGCACGCCAGACGTCCTGGCCAAAAAAAAAA